TTTGGTTATTACTTGACACTCCAGTGAGCCAGTGCCCAGCTCAAGCCAAAGTAAAAGCAATTCAAACAGTGGCATCCTGGGTATCCTATGGCCATCCCAAAAATTCCACTGTTGCTATTTTGACTCAGTAGTGGGGAAGATGACAACTCATTGAGTCATCATAGATACTTCATCTATTCAAATTCTAAGACACATACAGGATGAACATAGCCTTTTACACATGTAATAGCCCTATTATTTCTGTGCATTTCTATTATAAAAAGTCACAAAGGGATCCTTAACTATAGTTCCCTTATGATAATGAATATTTTTCAAAATTTAGTGGAGAAATTATGCAATTGTTGCCAGGATTTGAATATTAAAAAAAAAAAAAAGGGCAAAAGAAAGAAAGAAAAAGCATGAACAATCATTACTACCTTCTCAGAGTACAATTAGCATTGAATCATCAGTAAATGCAGTGTGAATAGTCTGCCAAATTTACACCCAGAACTATCAGAGAAAATAATTTTGAAATATAAAAAGAGCTCTGAAAACTAGATGCAAGAATGTAAACAAGAGCTATTCCTTTTATTCTGAATTACCCACCTGACTCAGTGCCATCATTTTCTAGGGTAGGGCAATGAGAAAGAAAAGAGAAAAGCTTAAATATTATTTCCCTTTACTCTTTAAGTGAAGAGATGGCTGTAGAAAACATAAAAATCTGAAAGGGTACATTTTCTCTTGTGATTGCAAAAGTTGGGATGTGTGGTAAAGCCTGGGGCCTTTTAGCTGTGTTCAAATTTGTGATGTTATTTTAAAAAAGGAATAATTGGTGAAAAATTAGAAGATTAAAATGCTTCCCACAACTCCCCTAACAATTTCATGCAAATACCTTAACTGCACATCCCTTATTCTTCATCTCCTGTTAACCCTTTCCAGTGCCATGAGGAGCTCTTTACACTGGGTCATACATGAGCCTAGGCATAAAGTTAAATCCACAGCCTGGGACATTTCTATCACAATGATAAGTATGCAGCAAAAAAAACCCATAAGTACATTGATTAAATTATTTGTCTTAGACTTTTAACTGAAACTATCATGTCTTTATGTGAGATACATTAAAACTGCAAACCAGTCTGTGAACACGAGTTCACTGTAACTGGCTGGCAAGTGGACTGGCTGCACATTTATTGGTGTAGTCTTTTCACATAAATCATAGCTGTCCAAAGTCTAATCGGATTTTCCCTGGCTGCCAACATTCCCAAAGGCTTCTGCACCATCAGCTTGGCAGCTCCCTGAGCATGGCCCAGCCACGCAGAGTGGAGCCTCCAGGGAGGCTCCTTCTGTTGTGCACATCCCTCCATGGCCAATTAAACTGGCTCCAGAGTCACCTTGTGCTCTGGATGGTGCAAAGAGCCTGCAGTGCAGTCAGGACTAGGGCCAAGGCGTTGTCAGATCAGATCCTAAGGTTGGGGAAAGAAAGCTCTCAAAGAGAAATTTCAGAGTTACTTTCACAGCTCATTGCAGAAGCACCACACAAATAACCTTCTTGTGAAATAAAACCCTGCCCCATGATAAAAGCTGGAAATGAAAGCATTCTCACCTCAACACAGAGCAGCTTCATACCCAGCAAAGCAGAACTTCAAAACACCGTTATGGTTGTTGACCACGGAAATTTCTAAAAGAAGCCTCAGAAAATACTATGCACTATATTTTCTAGGTATTTCAGATGAAAAGATATTAAGAAAGATCCCTCTTTTAGGAATACTTTTAAGGTTTATGTTGCTTGCAAAAAATTTTAAGTTTATTAAATATATGGCATTATTCAGTACAGCATTCTTATTGTTGTACTATACAATGACAATCACCTATAAAATGCTGACTAACCAGCAGCAGCTTTTGAAGAACTTGCTGGAGTTGCAAACCAAACTTTCTCAGAAGTTTGAGCTATAAGCTGAGAAAGCTGAAATATTAAGGAAAGAATAAATTGAAATAATTAATAAAAGCTGGCAGCTGACTGCACAGTGCTGTCAGAAACTGAAGATTCAAGATCTAACATGACAGTTACCTGTAACCTCAAACACTTTATAAGCACATCATAAAAATGTGGAGGTATGCAAAAAAGACTTGAGGAAACAGCTGTTTAAAGACATTAATTAACAGTGAAATGCAAACAAGAACTATTTAAGGAAGAATGCTTTTTTATGAACATGTACATATCAAATCATTTGTAATTTCATGGAACAAAAAAAAAAAAAATCATTCCAAACCAAACAAGGAAAGAACTCAGTTGCTGTGGATTCAGTAACTTACAATCATTTGTATTTAGCACAGGGTCCTCTATTAGGAGAAATATTTTCTGTTTAAAGTAACAGAAAATGAAATCCTGATCCCCATATATTTCAAATAGGGCATGATATGGATCAGTAATGAATAATAAAGTAGGATTCTAAGAGCCCAGACTTCAGGTTATTTCTATCTTAACAGCAGCCTTTTTGTGGACCCTAAGTGAATCTTTCTGGTTTTATGCTTCAGCTTTCCTATCTGAGAAAGGGGAATTAAAAAATTATTCTTCAGATGTATTTCTATATTTTTAGAAAATACCAGGCATGTAAAATGTCATAACACATTCTTGGTGAGATAACAAAGTGATACAGTAATAAACAAAGCCTTATTGACACTCTGAAGTACATATAAGTTTTTGCATTTAAGGTGTCTTGTGGGACTCTGAAGTGAATATGGGCAAAAATTATCTTGGGGAGAAAAAAAAAAAAGCTTAAAACAATTCCAGTGTATCAAATAAGAGAGTCAGAAACTAATAATGGGACTAATGGCAAGATTTTTTTTCCTTTTTGATTCATTCAAATGGCAGCATCCAACTTCTGTAAAAATAATGTTGGGAGCATGCAGCTGCAGAGCTGTGCAGAAGCAGGGGTGGTGTGCCCAGTAAGAGTTGTGCCCTGTAGACCACAACTCACTATAAATCCATCTATCCAGCAATTACACACTGCAGCCTGAACCCTCTACTCAAAAGGGTACTGGTACACATTGCACTGAAACCAATAATTATACTCACCCATGCCAGTTCACAGCACAGAGATTCCTCTCTCAGGAACCAATCATTAAGGGCTTCCCAATGGTCCACAACACTACTACCAGTTGCATATCTTTGAATATTCCTGATAAATGTATTCCAAACTTTCATGAGGAAGATCAATAATCATGATTAGATGAAAACTGCTTTTTTCTTACAGGAATATTCATGAAAAAGAAGAGTAATTGTTTTTGTATGAACATTGCTGAAACGCATGGGAAGTTTTTTGATAAGAAGAAGTATATTTTCTTCCATGTTCTCTCTCCTCATTGATTAAGTTCATGAAAGGAAACAAAACTGCTTGCTGGCCTGCATGGCAATAGCAGCTACAAGGTAACCAAATCAATAGGGAAGTGATTTTGTGCTGAGCAAGTAATTTTTAAACTGTATTTTACCATCCTTGCAAAAATAGATAATGAAAAACACATAATGTATACTTGTAAGAGAGAGGATTGGACATTTCTTAACACCAACTCTGTTGCAACTTCCATTGGACTGCAGGAGCACCTCTACATATTAAATTTGTACCTGGTATTAGGGAGGGGGAAAGATGGCAGACCCCAAAGGGAAGTTAATACACAGCAGATTGTCTTTCTATTACAAAAAAGACTGATGAAAACTGGTCAACAAGGGATGAGGAAAACACATCAGAAATCATTTGTTCTTCTTATGGGGAGTCATGTAGAGATAACATTCTTCTTCTAGTAGATTTTTTTAAAACATGAAATTCCATGCAGAAACTACGGACAAAGTCCTGCAGAACTGAAGGATTCCTTTGCTCAGTATTAGAAGTTCAAGTGTTCAATAGCTACTCAAGGGTTTACTGCTTTTCCGGCTCTAAGACAGACTTTCCCCAGAAGCAAAACCAAAAGTGCTGCCCAGCTGTGCCCCTACATCTGTGAGCTGCTTGGCAGGTAGGTAAATGTATAGAACAAAATTGAAATAACTACAAAGGCAGTTCAAAAACCTTTCAACTTAAAAAAAACCAAAACCCTACTTTTAATACTTTTTAAATCTCAATAATGAAATGAGTTGTGTTTTTCTTTGCACTGCTCTCACTCGTTTGGCCTGTCAGGATGTGCAGTATCACTGTTACAACACTGACCTTTAACATCACTAAAAGTCAGTAAGATCATGGAACAGCAGAGCCCATTCTCCACTCTCACCTGTGACCCACTTTGGCACATTCATGTCATGGCAGGAACAGCCTGGGAAATCTAACACTTAGATTTTTCCATTGTGTATTTATAGCAAGTGGGAGTGAAAGCACAGAAACTGTTGAGTCTGTGTTGTCAAGAACTGAATATAGATTCTTAGACTACCACACACATGGGCTATAAGTGTATCATAGCTCATAGGTTTTGATCCACTTAGCTCTTTAATGAGCTCTAATTATAGCTAAAAAACCCAAAATAACAACATTTATTTAAAAGCATCCAGTACTCATATGAATACATCAAGACATGGAAAGATTTACTCTCCTCAGAGGTGTTCGGCATAAGCTTCTTATCCACACAGGTGTTTTAAGTGGGCTCTTTTGCCCAAAAATGTTCTCAAGGGGCAGTGGGGATTAATACTGCTTTAAGAGGCCTTCCAGGACACAGCTGCCCCCTTTCATCACAGGGCTGCAGGGATTCCCAGGTGTGAAGTGTTTCACTGACTGTGAAATTCATTATATCAACAGTAACCCAGCTGATGCCATGGGTTTCACTGACTGTGAAATTCATTATATCAACAGTAACCCAGCTGATGCCATGGCCAAACCCATCAGGAAAGTCTGTAAGAATTCCACTGTGTTTGGCAACTATAATGAAATTATACCTTTTCTAATGATCAGAATTATTGATTACCACAAAGAGAAACTGGATTACAACAGCATCCTGTTTGCCACACCCATGCACAACAGGCAACGCCAACTTTTTGTGATCCCAAGCAAAAAGCTGAAGTGGATGAATAACGTGGTAGGTGGTTTTACAACTCCCTGTGGCCAGCATAAGGATGCTGTAAGTCCTGATGGTGTTGATGCCAAGAGAAAAAAAAATCAGCAGTCTCTCTTCCATGGATCTCTAGAGAACATTAAAGAGCAGTGCTGGTGTAGGCATGAGGACTGCGGTTAAATGTGGTCAGCACCTATACCTGGGAGAAACGGTGCAGGTGTTTGCTTCATTTCAAAGCAATCGGTCATTGTCACTGGACTGTGAAGCGGGAATGACTGTACCCAAAGGTGAAACAAGTTCAGAAAGCACAAGCAAATTCAAAAGATGGGTCCTGAGCGAAGTTCTGTAACTAATGTACAGAGGATTAAGAAAAAAAAAAAAAATTAAAAAAAATAAAGGAGGGGCGGGGAGAGAGAGAAAGCAGGATTTGGGGATTTCTCTATTTCTCTTCCTACCAGCCCTAGCCACTTCGGTACTCCACTGGGACTGGAACTCCCCAGCACTAAATCGGCACAGAAAGAATAATTATCAGCACGTATTTTTGAACTCTCGAGTGAGCGGCAGAAAGCTCAGCTCTGGGAGGGAGGGAGGGCAGCTTTAGGGACTCCCGTTCCGGGCTGTGCCGCGAAGCCCATTCCCGAGCCGCTCCTGGCCCGTTCCCGACCGCTCCCTGCCTTCCCTCACGGCCCGTTC